ATTCAAATCTCCCAGCATAAAAAAAGTATCATATTTGACTGATATTTTGTAAAGTTTTGACATGAATCATTTAAAAATTGTTGTCTTTCATACATGGTGGTTTGTAACAGCCCAGAAAAAAAGTTTTAGTAGAATTTATTAAAATTTCAACTCCTATGGATTTTACCTCATCCGCCTCCAATTGGGTCTGGGGGCCCGGGGAAATGGGATCTAGGTAAGATACCCCCCCCAGAGGAATTTCGGTCGACGCCACATGGAAAAGTCCACGGAGAAAGAGCATAAAATGAAGAGTTATTTTAGTTTACTTAGGAAAATAAGTTAGGTGTTTTTTGTCAGCATTTTTTTTAAAAATGAAAACTTAAAAGGGAGACTGTTTATGTTCAGGAGGACAATAATTTGTTTGGATTTCTGACCTAGTTTCACACAGCTATCAAATATATTGATGCTTGTCGTTATCACTTTCTAGGTCATTGTGGTAATGACGTTTCGATTTGATCTCTGATATACATTTACTACATGACCATGCAAGAAGTATTTTGGATAACTATTCATATAGTATGAATCAAAATCGTAGAAAAATAGGGGTCAGTGTGCATCTTACTTAGCTACATACAATAAATTACCTTTTTGCACATAAATCTTTATTTTTCATTAATCACTTTAACAGGTGGAGAAAATACTCAAATGGGTTTTATCCGTGAAATCGCGTAAAACCATATTAGGGTATGTTGAATCCGCAAATGGGATTCCGTCAACTTTTTATGAAAACTAAAGAAAAACAACGGCGCATTATGCCAGTTACTTTTACTTGACATCGAATTTGTGGTTTTTTTTATTAAACCTAATTCATAAGGTTGTCAAATAAGTTTAAAATCACACAACAAACACTGCTGGGGTAACAAAGAGGACACAATGGCGTTATTATTTTTCAAATAATTTCTAAAAACAAATAACTACACTTCGTTTGTCTTTTTTTCCCAAATTTAAAAGTATTCCATATACCTAATTTTCAAATTTTGTGACTATTCACAAAACGTGAAATTTTAAAGAAATTAAACGACTAACGCCGTGTTATGTAGATTTACTAAAAAATGTATGACGCCCCTTTTCTCGTAAATATAAATTACTCCTAACAGTTAATAGCATATAAGCGATCATAATTGTATATCTCTGCAATAATAGAATACCAACGTTATCATAAAAAAAAAATAAAATAAGATGAAATAAATACCCCGGAAAACAGTTTGAAAATAGCTAATTAAAGCTGAGTATCTTTTTTTATGTCAATTTAGCATGAAATTTTTATTTCAAAGACACCGTAAATTTTTGGTTGCATTTTAATATACAAAATGTACATTTTACCTTTATTTTATGCATTTGTGTGAAAATTGAGAGCGAGAAGTCATATGAACAGGATTTTCGTGTTTTTGTTTTTTTTTTGGGGGGGGGGGGTATAAATAAAAGTCAAATGTGTACATCTTTTCATGGAAATAAAATACATTGAATTTATCAATAAATCAGGTACATCATATTGAAATATGAATTACATAGTCAAGTTTTCACATTTCTTATAGGTTTTACGTTTATGAACATGTTAATAAACCGAAATAATGGAGTGTTCAATTGCCTTGGAAACGCTTGTCACTTTTTGGGAAAAAATTCCTCATCGGAATTAAAATTTTATAAAAAAGTAGCCCTTCCTTTTTTTTATGGGGTCGGAACCGGGGGGGGGGGGGGCTTTCCCCCCCCTTTTCCCCAATATATACTTAGTATAGACATTGAAACCCTTTTTACATAGGTTAAGCCCCCCCCCCCCCCTTTCCACAGACACCTCGCAAAAGGCAAAAAGGGGTTTTGGTGTTTGGAAAAAATTTGGGTATAAAGTTGAACCTAACCCCCCCCCCCCTTTCCCCACGATTAAAAATATATGACCAGTTTAACCCACCGTGACATTCAAAGAGAGGGTTTTTAGACACATGTAGAACACAGTCGAGGTTGTTTTGTCAGAGGTGGTCCAGAAACCTTTAGCCCCCCCCCCCCCCTTTTAAGTCGCCAAGAAATGGAAAAATATTATATTAGCAAATTAAACGATCAACAGTTATGTTCTTCATAAACTGTATTCCTGAAACTATCACTGTCTCTGCAAAATTTTGAAGACAATTTTGAAAAATGTTTGAATGGTAAATAAAAAGAAAATATTTTCAAAAAAAGAAAGAGGGTTCTTTTAGCCGATTTTTTAGACATTTTTTTCATTACATTATTGATACATTCAAAAATAAATTTGATTTTATGCACAAGATGAATGTGAAAGAATTAATGACGCATAATTAGATACGATAGACGATCCCTTTTTTTCGGGCATTTAAACTGGTGTGTGAAATGTGTTTCCGTATAATTTGATTTATTTACAAATTGTTCATGTTTGTCGTGTTGATGTAAATTTTAAATTCCCGAAATTCTGATACTTTACAATTCTGTTGTGTTGGGAATGAACATTAGGAAGATGCATATACTTTCAACATAAGGTAAAATATAAAGCAAATCGAACGCCTTTTTATGTGCAGATATAAAATGTACGAGCTCCACGGGTATTTGTTGTCCCGAGCGCATTAATCTTGACACCCAAATTCTTATTTGGCTAGTGATACCTTTAGAAAACATATGTATCTAGATGAAAGTTAACTCGGCAACATGCGCCATCCCATTCTTTAAGTTTTATCAGGTGATTACACCTCCTATACCCGATTTGCGGATTCAACACCCCCAATATCGAGTATTATACGCTTTTCACGGATAATACCCGATTTCGAGTATTCTCTCCACCTGTTTAACTTTATCATATTCTATCAGATGTAACAATGGCTATAGTTATAAATAATTCTACGTAAAAAGTATGAAATTACTGCGTATAAATTATTGTATGACCTTTTTAACTAAATAAGAAATATATTTTGTGAAAAAAATCTAAATAGACAATAAAATATATTCTTGTATCACTCTTTTTACGAGGGATCTTTATCGTGCCAACGCCTGCCGCTGACACGGGGCCTGGGTTTTTTAAAAGTTCCCAAGGACCCTAAATTTTTATTCAAAGCGCCGAGCGATGGCGAAAAACAGTTGCTACCCATTTTTTTTTTTATCAATTGGGTCAGTCGCGGCCAGATTCAACTCACGACCTCCTGATCACGGAGCGAGCGCTCTATGGACTGAGCCACCGTAAACGGTAGGAGGGCGTGAATTATAGCTATAACTGATAGTGATCATAAACAAATTACAAATCCCAAAAAATAAGACCAGGAAATAAGACAGGTTGGCGAAAACGAGGAAACGTGAACCTTCATATCAAGTTAGCTAAAAGTTTTCAATCCAGAAGTGATTAAAAAAAACTACAATCAATTGATAGTTTTGAAGATGAACTCGGTGAAATGAAGAAGATCTATAAGGTTTTCGAATTTTTATTTTCACCAAAGGGGTCTAATAGGGGAAATAAAACGACGTTTCTTTGCTAACAAAAGACCATGGTTCCAAAAACTCCTTTTCCATTTTATGCAATGGTCAAAAAAATTTTGAAAGATGTTTTCAAAGCAAGATTTTGTAACTCTCATTTTCATATTAATTTTTAAATTATGATTCTGGAAAAAGGTTCCAAGAATTTTTACCTTGTCAATAAGTGTTTAATGGTTGGAGTGATTGATTATTGATTGACTGTATACTGTTTAACGTCCCTCTCCAGAATATTTAACTGATATGGAGACGTCACCATTGCCGGTGAAGGGCTGCAAATTTGGGCCAGCTCGGCACTCAGGGCCATTGAGCAGGGAGGGATCTTTATCGTGCCACACCTGCTGGGGAGGGGCCCCGGTTTAAACGGTCTCATCCGAAGGACCGCCCCATTTATCGCCTTTTAGACAAGCAAGGGGTACTGAGGACCTATTCTAACCCGGATCCCCACGGGGAAAAAACAATCAAAATGTACACTTACGAATATCGATCTCAAACCAATGTACTGCCCGCTGGACAACCGAGGGTTTTGCTTAAAAAAACGCCTCCCTTCTGACAACTTGGGTCACATAGAGCTGTTACAAATTAAAGTCTATCCATTGAATTCATGTTTGAAACTTAATCCAAAATTTACTGGAAGATATGAGATCAAAATATCTTTGCTTTAAATTATAGGCCACATAAAAGTTTTTTTTTGAAATGTTATTCAAAGAAAATTAAAAAATATATATATATTTTTGTATCATGTACAATTTAAAAATTTAAAAGGGTTTTGTAAAAAAGTAAGTGTTAAAAATTGAAAATTGTTATGCATTGACCCAGTGTATCCCTGGTCACAAGAACAAATGTCCGGACCTTTCAGGACCCCCAAAATTACGGCAGGGTTCATATAGCTGTAAAAAAAATTTGAAAACTCTCAACTCTCAGCTGTAAACAAAAAAAAAGAAATGCTTTATTTGTAAGTAAACGTAATTAATACTCAATATCTTCAAATGTTGTTAAAAACATTTGAAATACTCTCAATTGTAGACAAAATATGTGAAATAATTTCAGTTATAAACAAAAAATTGATAAATCCTCTCAAATGTAATTAACAGTTAGAAATACTAGGCTGTAATCCCAAAAATTAGAAATATTTTCAGCTTCGAAGAATGACATGAATACTCTTGCTCCTGTGTAAAAATAAGCATATAAAGGTATTGTTTTCAATACCTAAAAACTAAGAGCAAGTGGTCAGGAAAGAAATGTTTTGAAAATTTCACACAAAGACTTTTCGGACATAGGTCCCCCCTTAAGATTGAGAATATCTCAGAAAATTATCATTTGGAAAGGTACATTGTAGAGTTTGTGTAAATGTATGTTGCATAAAATAGTTTTATATTTCAAACCTGTGAATTTACCTGTTATAAAATCTTGTGTATTTTTAAAACTATATGTTATGCCTATATATTTATCATGGTTACATGTACCTATTGTACTTTGTATGTACATGTATCTTTCTAGAACCCAACACAATGGCTACATTTCTTCAGCAATTCAAGACTCTTATGTACAAAAATATTTTGTATAAGAAAAGAAACAAAGGCCAGCTTATACAGGTAATCATATATTAATACAGTATGGTTTTCCTTTTAGTTAATATATTTGTTACATTTTAACAAATCTTGTAAGTTGTAGGGCAAAGCAGTAAATTTCCCTCTTTGAGCAACCAATTTTAAACATGCATGCCAGAAGTATATTGGGGAAAATATTTACAAATTGAAAGTTAAAAAGGAAGAGTAACAAGCACATGCATAATAACAGCAAACATAGTGGAATTATTATTTAAGATGTGTACTTTTTGCAATCATGGCCGTAGCACGATATATTTCTGTTATGTGAGCTTCTTTTTCTCTGTAGGAAATATTATCTCCCATTTATTTCGTTGCCATCTTGGCCATGACCAAAGCGTTCCTTCCCCTAGATCCCAAACCTGCCATTACCAACATTCCCTTGGTGCATCCGGAGAATTTTTCTGTCAAGAGCACGGGGAAAATTCTAGTATGCCCTGACACCACCTATACCCGCACCATCGCAGCCGATGCAGCCAGCATCTTCCAGCAGCTGTTGAGTCTGAACTCGACTCCTACCTTGGAATACTATCCTGATGATGTTGCCATGGTAGCAGCTTTCAAGGCCAATTACTCTGGTATTTCAGGGTAACTATTTCTTATCTCACTTATATTTTTGGAATCCTGCATAAATTTTTGCATTTTAGATTTTGTGGAAATTTAACCCTTATAAAAGATTATGATGTAAATGATAGTACAGTCAGTTTGTAGATTTGATCATATTGATTTTTTTTTATTGTCAAGGTTTACAGGACTGCAGTTCATGTATAATAATGGTAGCAATCTATCCTATGCCATCAGGATGCCCATTAATGACATTGTAGATACAAAGAGTAGCAGCATGTATAGAACTGCAAGTAAGTACAAAAGATTCCTCCAACAATAAGATTCTAATGTTGTTTACTGTATTTACTCATTACAGTCAAAACTTTTTATTTTGAATCCATTTGGATTTAGAAAAACTTCCTAGATATCCAGCTTGTGGTTTCCGATGATGACTCTAAGTTTTCTTTGACATATTCATAGTTTTTGGGATAACAAAGTTCAACTGTATTTCAATTCTTTATTTGACAAATTCAGCTGTATTTTAGTATGGATTCGGTAAATCAGAAGAAGTACATGTAATACCTAAATCTTGTACATTGTATGTTGTATCAAAATTTCAGACGACCAGTGTCGGAATGGTAATGGCCTGGATTCCTATTCCTGTGATGTTCTGAAGTATTTACACACAGGCTTCAGCATGATTCAGGTGGCCACAGACACAGCTCTGTTGAGGGTAGGACTCGGATTTTTAGTATATTAATACACTCCTAGCATCAGCAAAATAAATGTTTTTTTTTTGTTTGTTACTTTCATGAAAAGATTTTTACTTTATTCTCACAAGTTAGATGTACAGATGTACAAATATCTGAACATACATTTAACTATAATTCTCACTACATGCATATATTGACGATATCATTTTCAGAAAATTTCTTTTATTGTACATATAGGCCTACATTTACAGTGCATTTAGGGTAATTTTTGAGGATGTTTTTTTTCATAGAGTCACTTTGGCATAACATCAATACAGCCACCTGATCTTTCATTCCAACTGATGCCATTGGACAAGTACCAACCAGACACTTCATACATACAAATCATATCGTCTCTCTACTTCGTGCTGGCCTATGCTCAGTTTGTCAATTTTCTTGCCGCCAACATTGTAAACGACAAAGAGAAAAAGATCAAGGAAGGAATGAAAATGATGGGCTTGAGAGATTCCGCCTACTGGGCTTCGTGGGCATGTGTATATTTCATCCTGATCACCATAGTTACAGCTGTTGTGACGCTGATAGCGTACGTGGCCCAGTTTTACAAAAACAGCAACATGTTCTTTTTTTTCCTTATTTTGGAGTTTTACGGAATGTCTCTGATCACTTTTGCCTGGCTTATCACACCATTTTTCCAAAAAGCGCAGACGGCCGGTGGAATTGCCAGTTTGACCTCTATGTTGACCTCGACCCTTTACCTGGCGGTCAGTATGACCCGGACGGTGACCAGTACTGGGGAGGTGACCTACACCATCCCCCCAGTGGGCAGGGGATTTCTCAGTCTCATATCCCCCTGTGGTGTGGCTTTGGCCATTGATCAGGTAAGGAATAAATGGAAATATTCACATTTCCAATGAATTTCCTCTATGATTCTTTACAAAATAAAATGCAGTTTATTTTCTTATGAACTACATTACATATGTACCACGAATACATCAATATCTCTATTGTTACATCATAATACCGCACTTGACGTAAAAAAAATATAGTGCACACTGATTTGCTTTAAAAATGACACTTGAATGACGTAAATTTTTTGGCAAGTCATCAGAAAAATAATGTAAATATAAGAAATGAATTTAATTTTTGGAGATTCATGAGGTATATGAACTACAACGCTTCACGCCGGCATATTTATCATGAAGCTCTAACGCGCTTCATGAAATATGCCGGCGTGAAGCGTCGTAGTTCATAACCTCATGAATCTTCAAAAATTAAATAGACCATTTCAGTTTTATTGCGTTAATATAAATCAATAGCAATAATCATTGCGTTTAATAGCTGATATCTTTGTGCTTAAACGTGTTCAACACTTTTCGTTCATCACAAAAGATTGCGATGCTCGTTTCTTGACCCTTTTACATGGTTTAAACTTAAGTCTTTTATTTAGGTAACCCTTTCAAATACTATAATTGTTATCTATGGAATTGATTCAAATATTACATTAAACATTTAAAAATGAAAAAAAAAATCAGTTTTAGTGCAGAAAATTATGTAAAAAATGCAGTTTGGTGGCGGGTCTTACCAAGTTCCATAGATCCTATCTATGCACTCCGTCATATTGTATTTTTCTAGTACCAAAACTGTCTTTTTACAGGGGATAGTCCCAAAGAAACTAAAGGAAAAAAAGTATAATTTTTTTAACACTATGATCTAAGAAAGCCATGAAGGGACACGCCAATTTTCAAAAAAAATAAAAATTAATTTGGGTCTGAATTCACATCCATTCCGACGGATTACCAATTCGTTCCCCCGATTTATAATTCGAGATCTCAAATACGCAATCCGTTCTCAAATCCAATTCGTTTTCACAGTTTATCAATTCGTTCCCTCAAATTACACAATCCGTTACTCATTTATTTCATTTTCTCAAATTAAACAATTTGTTCTCTCGGAATGAAAATGATTCCACCATTTATTATTATTTATCTGCACATATCGGATATGACAACCGGTTTAATGGATAGAAATGAAGTGTTTTCATCCTATTTTTTATTACAAATTCAGTTAACATGAGAAAAATCTTTTTTAAATCCATATGCTATAAGATAGTTGTTCAAAACAAGTCTTAGACTTCTATGTTACATGTACATTAGAATCATTGAAAAAAAAGTTTGGAACCACAGGTTGCTATACAAATTCATGGAAGCATTAATTGAAATTGATAAAAGGGGATAGGTTTTTCCCAAGCCTTTGTACTCGGATATAAGTATATGTTATGTATAGGTATAAAATTCGAGAAAACGGTTTTCCAAAATCATTTGACTGATATTTTGATCAGTGGGATCAGATTGTGTTATTCGAGATCTCAAATTAAAAAAGAGACTCGAATTAAAAAATGTGAAAACGAATTATGTAATTCGAGATCTGGAATTATAAATGGTGGGAACGTTAGTTATTTGTGACAACGAAAATGAATTCAGATGCGAATTAAAAATGAGGGAAAAATTATACTGGGGAACGGATAGTGTAATTCGAATTAAATTTGATTTTACTTTTTTGAGAAATCGACGTGTCATTTCATGGTTTGATGATCACCCCATGTTTTTAATTTGATCTATAATTTTTTTTCACAAAATATTTTTTTTTTTTCTTCTTTTTATCACTTTGACTAACAAGGTACTCGATCGACAACTTGTATGAAAAACTGTTTACTAAAAAAGAATTTTGATTTATATCATTTATATCCCTAGATTTTAATAAAAAGGGGGGAAATCACGAGCAACCAAAAAAATTCATATGGTCTGTCAAAAAATGACGCGAGAGAGAGAGAGAGAGAGATGCTTAAATTGTTTTAAAACCCCTAAGATAATTGAAACTATAACTTACTCAAGTTGGTTAAGCAAAAACCAAAAACCGGTAAAAAAGAGGTTGTGGTGCATACTGACTAAAATTCTCTGCAACAGTATGTAAATTATTCCAAAAGAGGCCTTTTTATTACAATCAACGCGGAAATAAAACAACAAAGAGAAAGCGATATCACAAATTGATACGTGTTTTTTGAAATCAATTTTTAATCAGCAGGTATACAATTAACTTCAATAAAAGACTCTCAGCTTTAGTATACATGTACGAGATGGATTGTATATATGTTAGGATCTAAAGTGTTCAACATTTCAAAGAGAGAGAATAAAATATACCATGCTTAAACTTGAACACTCAGTTAAAAAAAAAATTCTGACACATACCGGTAATTCAGACATAAGAAAAATTATGGATAAGTACAGTCAGATCAAGTTGTTTCTGTCCGATATCGATAAAGCCACTTTCTTTATGAACAAATAAGAAATTTGAAAAAAGCATCAGTTCATTTAATTTAAAAAACTTTCAAATGTGATTTTTTAAAAAAAATTAAAAATTTTGGGGAAATTCATCACGACGCCTTTTCAGAACGGAGTTATGGCTTCATGGTAAAGATGTATGAAGCTGGGGGTTGTAGTTTATGTACTTGGGTAAATTTCAAAAATTCAAGTCAAGGTTACTTTTTTGTTACCAAGGTTTGTAATAGCCTTTTTTTTTTTTTTTTTTTTTTTTTTGTTTAAAAAAGTTTGCAACATAAAAAGGGGAAAAAGCTGGAAAAATTCATAGAAGATAAAATCAATTTAGTCTTTTGAATACACATCCACCCATGATTTGATATTTAGTAGATTTTAAACTTTTTTACCGTTGGAAAATTTTCAGGAAAAAGCACTTCGCATACGTATATCTTTCAAAGAAGTTTTGTGGGAAAACAATCCCTACACTATAACTCATGAAAAGAGCAAAATTATTAAAAACTGAAAAAATAAAATCTTTAAAAACAAAGAAACCGATCGAAAAACACATAAGTTAAGATGAGATTTTTTTAAAAAGCAAACGGGCATCCAAAAAAATTTTTAAACCCCAAAAATATCATTGAAAAACTAATTTTTGATTTTTCTCAATTTGCTGGTTCTCCCAGGCCTTCAAGTATCAGTTCCATGTTAGTATTTTCCCCAGTTCTTCATGTTCGGCTGCTAATGTTACGCAACTCCAAAATTTTCCATGGTCAAACCCACCCCTTCGTAACAATAGCCAATCAGAGATGTCCATCATAATCACGTGTTTTGATGCGTCTTTTACTCCCAGTCAGCGCTGTGTCATTCTGCTTTGTCAACGCTATCAATAACAGCAAAAAAATTAGCACACACCACCACCCCAGTTTTTCCCACCTTGCATTTATATGTTTTAAATTGATATAGAGATTATATTTGAAATATTGGCGCATTTATTTTTGTAGTGCCATCTTTTTGCTTATACCTACTGTTTTTTTTTTAAATATTGTTTATCTGTTTTAGGTGATCAGTATATTAATATGTATTATTTCGTCGTTTTAATGACATATTTCATCTAAACAATGGTGTTGATTTTATTTGATTTTTCTAGCAAAACAGAGCTGCATGAGATTGTGATAAGGAAACAAAAAAAATATCATTGATTTTTTATGTTGATTTCATCGGATGTTATTTTCAATCGTAAATGTCTCTTGGTAGGAATTTTTCGGATGGTACGGTATAAAAACAATGAGGGTTTCTGACAGAATCTGTTTTAAATAATTTTTACTTTCCTGGTCCATTTTCCATGGTTTATGAAAAAAAAAGGGCCCAAAAATTTTATTTATTGGGAAAAATAGAACTTATTAATTATCATATACAAAAGTATTCTAACTAGAAGATGAGGCTAAATTAGGGTAAACATAAGGCTGAAAAAATAGAGACTCTAGCTATATATTTAATATTACTGAAGATTACAATTAATATCACAAACAAAAAAAAAAAAAAAATATAAGAATAGGGTATTACTTCAAATTTCTATCAAATTCATTTGGATATCATTTAAGAAAAATAAACCATTTGATTTTTTAAAACAGGATTGACAGTTATTTTGCGAGTCATGAACAAAGGGGAACTAAAGCCAAAAAAAAGGAACTGGAGTTTTGGCAATGTTAAATACAACTTTATACAACTCTTTTTTTTCATAGTGTCGTCTTTGCTCTATTTAAAATTGTCTTTAGTAATATATTTGACCTATAAGCGTTTTAACCGTTTGTTATTTTCGATTAATTTTTATCAAACCAGGTCTGTTAACCTTTTGGGGGTAGGGGGGTTTTAATTGTTGCATACATTTTAGTATTACCAATGGCGTCAAATTCACACAATATAACATGTTTTGAAGAAATTGAGAGGAAAAGTAAAGTACGAAGGAAAGTTAAAATTTACATTTTTGGAATTTTAGATTTATCATTTAAATGTTAACATTTTCATTCTAATTATGTCTGATATGAGCCGTGACATTTTAGTATTGTTAGCTTTTATTTGATAGTTTTTGAAATATTTATTAGATCTGTAAATCTTCCATTTTTTTTTGTCAAATAATTCATGATAAAATTTAATTTATAAAGAAAAGAACTATTGTTTTTCATTTGTAAGAAGTTTTTCTTTTCAAAAACATCCTTTTATTTTACTCAAAGTTTTTACCAAAATCATATGTTTAAAAAATAATGGTTTACCTTTAGAATCATCTTCGCTAGTCAAGGGCTTCTGATACGCTACTCTCCTCACAAGGAATAATGAGATAAATTTTCATTTTGAATATCGAAACCCTTGGCTAGCAAAGATGCATTAGAATTAGGGCATAAATTATTTGTCAATTCTTCTTGCAAAAAAGGGGTTGTATTAAGTAGAGTACTATTATTGAATGTAAAAGGGATCGAAGAGTACGAGTGTTTTTTACAATCATATTTGTACCACGATGAAGGAGAGTCATATCATTGTTTTCTTTTAATCATATTACTATTATCTTT